AATTTCAAATTGTTTTATAATTTGGTATTTGTTTGAGTTATTATAAATTTTATTTTTTGTGTATTGTTTTGTTTCATAATTTTCTTTGATTTAAATTCATAGAGCATCAACCAACAAAAGTTGGATCTAATAAAAAGAGTTAATCTTTTACAATATAACAAACAAGTGCTCAATTATTTGTTTGAAAAGATATCCATATTTGCCACTAGCAGTTGGCCGAGTGGCATGCGTGTGTGTGTTGGGTGCATGTATTGCAGGTTCGATCCCGCCCTGTTGTAACCAAAAAAAAAAAAGATATCCATATTTAATACCTAAGCATGCTTTAAACAGAATTGTTTTAATAGGATTTTGTGTTCAAGCTAACATAAATATCTCGTTCAGTCTTATTGCCTTGTTAGGATATTTTGAGTTTTATTTCTTGATTTGTTCATTAAAATCTATACTTCATTAATGCTTTATTTTCTTAATTTGCATTACTGAAAATATATATAAACTCAATAATAATAATTAATAAGAACTTTATCCCTTTTGACATACCATCTAGTATTAAGTACTACACTTTCTACTCTTTGATTGTGTTTGTAAATGTGTGAAAAGACAACTTATTTTCTAGGGATGCATGGAAAAGGAGATGAGATAGATATATCATTCATCAGGGATAAAAGTTTTAAAAAAAAAGTATTAAATGTTCCAACATCCAAAATATAACTTATAAAAATGATGAAACCCATTTAGGAAAATTAAAGTATGTTACCTCCGGTCCTTAATATAAGATTTAGTTGACTAATTTAGAAAGATTAAAGAAATTAGTCAAGTTAGTTATTTGTTATGAATATTTATAGTCTTTCATAAAATACCCTTACTAATTATGTATATTAGCTAAAATAACTATTTGATGAAACCTTTAATATGTGCAACTATTACAAGAATTATTTTTTAAAAAAATAAATATATATGAAAGACAAAATAGATCGGATGTCTTATATTTATGATCAAATTGAAAATTAAACAAATTTTTATATTAAAAATCGAAGATAGTATAAAGAGGACGGGAGGAAGTAATGACCAATTCATGAATTCGGTCAATTCTAACTGAATGAAAGTTTCATCAAAAAATTTTCTCCAAATTCATGTGGCTTGAATTTGAAACCTTTATCAAATTTCTTATCTCTCCCCATAACTGTATTTGGTATCAAGAATTTATTTTTATCAATAATGCTTTTTTTTGTAATTTTGTTTATCCATAATGCTTAGTTCTAAAGGATATTGCATATCATTATCATGTGCATTACATGTGCGTAAAATTTTCAACGCATAATGCACTCAGATCATGACTTAGAAGTTTCATATATTTGATGCTGCACAGTCTTGACTTTTCATTCATAAATAGTTGACTTGACTTATATATTGTTAACTAGGGCAAAGCACAGTGAACCCATAATTATGGATCGGTACATATAGTGAATTATAAGATTATAATAAATAATTAATATTATTTTGTAAGTTTTTAACTAATTAGTCAAATCAAGTGTTCCCATTGAAGCAATATAAGCATCGTGTGGTTTAGAGAAGATTACGTATATATGAAATATTTTACGATGGCCAGACGGTGTACAGTTCATAATTAGTTATATATATTTGATAATTTATTTTTTCTTATGTTCGTGTTTACGTATCCCATATATGAGAAGTGAACTCTCTTTTGTAATGGCCCGATGCTTATGAGATGCTAGCCATGCATATAGCTTGTGCTTATATTTTTTAATAAATTAGTAATTCATTTTCTTAAAAATTATATGTCGTTATCATAATATAATTTCCTAACTTTTGTTTTTTGCAACCGAAAATTTATATTCATGGCAACTTCCTCCCAATTTAATGCATAGCATGTATGAGATCTTGCTTTTTTCAAATTGGGGGGGGGGGTAAAATTTTGTTAATAAAACTTTTTTTTTGTTACATATAAGTATTCTTTTATTAGAGGCAATCATATTCGAAGCACTGTTGGATACTAAATGTTAACACCTCTCCTAATAAAGATTCAAATGTTGCTTTCTATATTGTAAGGGACTAAATTTTTTTGTTAGATTCAACTCCTGGTAAAACTAATTTTGTTAAAATTACACTAAGTTCCCATATTTTAAAATAATGGGCTTTATTTTGTCATTTTACCATGGTCAAAATGGGCCCCAAATAGGAGAACACACTTCATAGTTCAGCTTGAACTTTGGGGCCTCTACGGAACCGCGTGGTGAGGACAGCGAATTACACTTTGCCCTTTGACAAAAACAATACCCTCGGACTTTGGTACTAAATGTAAAAATTAAATAGTTAATTTATAAAAATTAAGAAGATTAATAAAGTTAGTTATCTGTAATAAATGTATTAATGTTTTTTAAAATATCCTGTTTAATCATTTACATTGGAATTACTTTTAATAAAAAAAATATCCTATTTAATCATTTACATTGGAATTACTTTTGATAAAAACACTTATAATACATACAATCAATGAGAATAATTTAGAAAAAAATTATAAATTTGAAAGCTAAAATGAATTGAGATCTTTCAATTATAATTAAAATAAATTTCCTAACTGGCTTTTAAATTTAAAATAGAAGGGAGTATCTTTTGACCCAAAAAAAAAAAAAGGAGGGAGTATCATTTTCACCACAAAAGAGAGGGGATGAAGTTTTCATGAGTTTCAAGCACAAGCCGCACATTGACAATCTATGGCTAATGGAGGGATGTAGCCATATAAGTATGGAAGCTCAACACAAGGCTTTCCTTTCAAAACTTGTCTTTAAAATGGCCGCCAAAACAAATGTTTCGAGTCTTTAGTTGTTAAAGGAAAGCATCAGGCCGGAAAAAAAAAAAATAGTTGTTAAAGGAAAGCAACCTTCTAGTTTCTTTTCTGGTAATTTGCAGGTGTGGCTCAAGTGGAACACTTGAAATAGCCCGGGAAAAAAATCTCTTCATAACAATCCTTGGAACAGAGTATTTAGCTTGGGTTGCTGGATTCTATGGACTTCCAGATGCCAATATGTCTTTGAAGGAACCACGCGATCTACGTTGGATCTTGTGCACCAATGTTCTTATCTCATCATGGAACAAGTGACAAACAATGATCTCTATCGTCAAGTATATAAGGAGGTGGAGGATCAAGAACCAAGATGGACACCGCCACCACGGGACGCAGTTCAAATCAATGTTGATGGCTCGGTAAGATACGGACAACAAGCGGCATGCGGAGGATTAATTCGGAACCATGAAGGACAATGGATCATGGGATTCACAAAATCTCTGGGTATATGTTCTGTCAAGAGAAGCTGAGCTACTGGCGATCAAACACGGGCTGGAGCTCGAACATAAATTGGAATTCCAGAAAACTCTGATATATTCTGACTCTCTGGACGTTTTTAACATGCTCACAAGAGACTATGCAACAGATCACTCCATGAGCAGTACAGTCCGAGAGGTTAGAAACCTCCTACTGCAAAATGGAGAGACAGAGCTTAGACATACGTGCAGAGAGAACTTGAGGTGTGTAGATTTCCTTGTGTGAAGGGGACACGCAAGTTCAGAGGAGCTTATCTTATTTCTAGAAGTACCAAATGGATGCTGGCACATGTTCTCAGAAGATATTCAGAGAGACCAATAGCCTTCTCGCCTGGCTCTTTGTGCTTTTACTGTAATTTTAATTTAGAGTCGGGAAAACGGATTAAGCCCATCAGGCCAGCCCTTTTAGGCCCTGAAATTATGAGGACTGGACTTGAAATTTTTCCCCTCAAATGGAAAACAAGCCCTGAAAGGTTGAGGGTTTAAAAGGACCGGCCTGTTTAGGTCCTTTTATAATTTTTTTTGTTTTTTAAAATTTTTTATGTAATTCTAATATTATTAATTTTTTACATTGTTAATAATATTTTAAATATTTAGTTATTATTATCATTTTAAAATTAAATTTTATAGAATGATTTGATTTATTTAGTTTTAGACAATAATTTATCCAATTAAATTTTTAAAAAATGGGTTAATTTGACTTTAATAATGATTTAATTTAGATTATATGCGTTGATATTTTTAAACTATATATATATTTGATAATGGAGTATTTTTATACTTATATAACTTGTGATTCTATAATTTGAATTAGAAATTTATGAGTTTCGACAACAATGCTTCTCACATTAAAGTAAAATAATAGCTAGATTGTAAAATTTAAAAGTAAAATTCCTATAAAGAAGAAAAATTTGATATTTTTGTTATGAAAAAAAAGCATACTTATAAAGAAGAGTCATTAATTATAGTGATGATGAAGTTTTAAAAGATTAATGATAGTATTTATTTATTGCACAATTGCACTATAAATAAAACTTTTAGATGTTGTTATCTTGTTAATAAATGTTTTAGATATTCTTGGATATTGATGGATATTTATATATGATGATATTTTATATTTGTAACTTAATTTTATTAATGTTTATGTCTTTTATTTACAATTTTATTGGTTTATTTTCATTTTTTTGATAAAAAATATCAGAAATATAAAAAATGATAGTTTTTCTTAAATGGGCCAAAAACCCGCAGACCGATCCTGAACTCGTTAGCTTAAGGGTCGAGCCTAGCAAATTAGAATATTTTTAAAATTTCAACCCTAAAAAGCCAACCTTTTTAAACCCGCCAGTTCTGAAGGGTCAGCCCTGGAGGGTCAGGCCAGCCCTGATTCCTACATCTAAATTTTACTTTGTCTCATGCGAGACTTCTTTAGGCCTAGGCTTGCCTCCTATTTCCAAAATTTAAAAAAAAAAAAAAAAAAAGAGTGCATGCACGCGCACGCGTGAGAATCGGAGAGGGGGTTTAGATCGTCCAAGTAAAAGGGGGAAAATAAATTTATTTCCTTCGAAGTAGTGTCTGAACCAGAGCATCTCAAGTCTATTTCTGATTAGCAGTAATTTTTTCTTTTTTGGCCAATTCTGATTAGCAGTAATGGAAATTGGAAATGAAATAAATTCCAGCACCTTCTACTGTAGGCTTCCTCGTTTTTATCTGTACAGTTTCTTTTGAATGAAATACTTCCCTTTTATTATAGAGGAAGAAAATACAAGCCGCAAATAAAGCCGACGATGCAAATGCATCTCATCCCACTAATCTCCCTATTATCCAATGAATTATTCTCATTCTTTTCAAGTCTCTCTCTCCCCCCAATCTTCACATCATTTTATGATGTTGCAAGAATAGCACAAAGCCCCCCAAAAACAAACAAGCAAACAAATCACGAACGGTCATGAGCATTTTTGGCTTCATGTTCAACTTCATCAGATAGGCTGTCCTGGGGTCTCTCTGAGAATGCTTCTCCATCATATTCCGCGCTATCCGAATCTTCTTCATCATTCCATCTTCTCTTCATGATTTTTGGGACCAGCCTAGTTACTTCCTTGCTCTCCAACATTTCTTCTTCATTGTTTATTCGTTCAAACCGAACAGCGCTCACTTTTCTAGCATTTCCTGCTAGTATCTGGGGGGAAAATAAAACAATAAGCTTGCATGTACTCTGCACGTTGCAGGAGAGCAACGGAGAATACAGAAACGACAGTAAATCCGTATTCTCCCCCCCCCCCCCAAAAAAAAAGAAAGTAAATCCATATTGAAGGAGCTCTGAGATTATCATCTTAATATGATCAATAAGGATGGTACAAGACACATTTTTCAATGTTCATCGTGGTCACATTCTTCCATATTTTATCCATCTCTTCCATAACCCTGGGGATATGTTTTTCTCCAACTCACACAAACCTGCGTGTGCTTCATCACCCCATGCCCATGTTGCACCTTCCCAATATATACTATAAAAAGATCACTTTTATCAAACATCTTTGAAATCACTATGCCAATAATGGATCAAGAAATTCAGATACCTGTATTCTTTAAATTGCATATTTCACTTTGAAATCTTTAGTTGGTTCCCAAAAAAAAAAAAAAAAAGCCTTACAAAATCTTTAAGAAGTTCATAATTTGTAAGCACGCTCACAAATTATCCAATAAGTATTAAAAACATTTCTAATAAAAAAATTCCCAACAGAAATACTAACAAAGGCATTGGTGGAGTGGACTCTAGAAATATCCGAGACTGGGAATTTTAGCAATACTACAAGCTGGATGCACTAATGGTGTAATTGGCATATTGGAGCTAAGAGTTACATTGCTAAGCAGTAAACGTCGGGACATTTATATCGTATATAGATACCATTCCCCTAGTATTATACAAAGTCTAAGGAATGAGTTGTACGGGGCTTGTGGATAGTGAGTCTTGCTCATGCTATAGATTATATTATATATATCTTGATTTGAGTAACAACTGAGATTCGAGAGCTAGAATTTATTGATGATATTTCTGTTGTAGTTAGTTATTATATGCACCCTTGATGCACCTGGCTCGCTAATCTTTCCTGTTCTTACCCTTTCCAACTTTTGAGGAGGCATGGAAAACACAAACACGATTTCCAGAAATTAAAAAAAATTACCTCGAGTTTGAAAATTTGATACTTCTCCTTTGCCTCCTGGTTATCACCATTAGACTCGTCATTTTCATCTTCATCTTCCCTTTCAAGAACCACCTTGACACTCTCACCTGTCCTTGGGATATAGCCAAATGCTTCACACACAAAGCCTGAAACTGTCTCATATTGATGACCCTGTAATAATGAAAGTTAACCAAGCAAGCGTTATGGGAACCATCTAAGCAAACCCGCTTGACTAGGCTCTACAACTTGAGGAAAAATCTCAGACTCAGTTGGCTATTCTATGGGTTGATTCATAAAATTACTCATGACAAATGGCTCTGTGTGTTGTAACATATGCTGGTATAGCAATATGGAAAGTTGCATTAACTCCAGCCAAATACAAGGTTATTAGACTACATCACATTTGCTAAACCTGCCACTTTGTTTCATTCATAAGCCAAGTATAAAAGCTGCATATATTATAAAATAGCGGACCTCTGGCATCTTGATGTTCAAATCTTCAGAGAGCTGATCTATTGATGTATTTGCATCCACATCAAATATACCCTCGGCTCGCATGACAATGTACCCAGTTTTTTTCTGTATCTCCTCCTGTTGAATAACCAAAGAAGAAAAGGAAATTTATTTTAATGGAATATCAATTTGCAATTTGCAATTTGCAAATCGTTATAACAACAAACACATTTAACCGTTGATAATTCCTGTTGACAACCTAAGAGGAAAAGCCAAAATACCTAAACATTCGATATTGTTATTCCTTATAGGCAGAACTAGAATGAGAATAATGCAGAAAGGCATTCTGATGTGCATATTAAACAAAATCATTCTACAATATCTAATCAGCAGTACCATTTGCAACCTCTAAGAAGCAAGATTATTGTATATTTGCTTACCAAAAAGGCACAGAAATGCATGGTTTTCTGGTGGAACTGATGAAAATGAACAAGGTTTTCAAAGAATTGGTAACGAGTTTTACCTTTGAATCATTTTCATCAAAGATTTCACCAACAATTTCCTCAACAGCATCTTCTAGAGTTACAATCTACCAAATTGAAGCACATATCAGATATTGAGGTTCCAAGCAAATCAGCTTGCAGCATGTTAGAACTTATAGGAAAAGCATGTAAAATAGACTTCAGAAGTAGTGTTTAGCAATAAATCTAATTAACTACACCTACCTAGCAAACTTCACTCTGAAATAAGATATATAAAAAATATTTACTCAATTTGTCAAACAAAATGCCATAGTCATGTGCCGGGGTGAATCATAAAATCATAAAAATGAAAAAATTAACTGGCCACAGGAAAACTGACAATAGAAAAGTATCAGCTATAAAACTAGTAATGGTAATGGCAGGAGATTGATTTGGTGATGGCAGGAGATCGATGTAATAGCTATCTACTAAATTAAAAGAATATAACAACCTTATAGATTTTGAGTTGAAAATAAAATTAGAATTTTTAGATAATTTGCAAATAATTGCGCAGAAGCACATAGTGGTTGTGACCTCTAATTCCCAATTAACAACAGGAAGACAAGAAAATAATGTGTATTGAAAAACAAAAAACCAGAGAAAGCATGATTTAATAGCTACCCTATCATAAGCTTCCTTTACTATATAAAGCTGAATAGCATGATATACTTTCAATGAATCAAACATTTTACATCATATTTTAGTGTTTGATGTCAAATACAGATCTATTTTAGTTGGCTTTAATAAGGCGTGTCCATACACCCACAGTTCCACCATACTCATGGAAAGACAAGAGAAACAGAAATTCAGAGATAGCATGTTTTAATTGCCACACTATCACACGCTAACTTTAATTGACAACGCTAATTAGGATGATATATTTTCAAAGAATCAAACATTTGACTTCATATTTTAATGTTTAATGCCAAACACAGATCTAATTTAGTTGACTTTAATGAGGTGTACATACTCCCACAGTTCCACCATACTCATTAAGCACAACCGCCATGTGAACTTTCCGGATTCGGAACTCTCTGAGAAGATTCCAAACAGACATTGAATCTGCATAGCCAATTATAAGAATTTATTCACCCACTAATGTACATTAAACATAAATGTTATTCTTAACCAAATTTCAGTACAAGGAAAAAAGAAGAATTACTAAATAGAATAGTCAGATAGAAGAAGAAAGAATAGTCATTAAGAATGCAGACAGTGCATGTATGCAACCCATATTGTTTTCCACTTTCCTTCTGTTGATGCCAACTAGCAAGTAATTTGGCAGAAGTAAATGAAATTCCAAGATTATCAAGAGAAAATGATGTCTGGCAATATCATGATAGCAAGCCTGTTCTATATTCTGGGACAAAAGCCCCCAAATCTACCCCAAACATGCAATGAGATATATGGAGCAGCACGTGGTCAACAGGGCAAGAACATCTGACTAGCCTTTCAAGCTATAGTTGTCCAATATCGTTAGGAGGCAAGACTGACTAAATGCAATAGACATAGAATACTCGCAGACCAATGTTTATATTTTTTTTATCTACTAGGAAAAATGATGAAAGGTGAAAAATAGGAAGCAGATTTGGAGAGACCAGAACTCAGGCTGAATATTCCTTATTTTGATGTGTTCCTGTCTACGCTTTAAGTGTAACAGCAGCCAGAAATATGGACATAATTCACTCACACACGGTTGAGGACGAAATTAGTTACCAGGAACAAAATATGCGGGCTTGTGTGCCATGTCTCCAACAGTGGTACTTTCTAGTAGCTCACCCTTCAAAATCAAAGAGATTACAATTCTGCAAACTATGAGATTGGGGGATAGAATTAATAGCCAAAGCAATTATAACAAGTACAAGAGATGACAGGAGTTAAATCTCGCAACCTTTTGAACATAGTCCAGGAGATCCATTGCATATGCAATACCCATTATATTATCAACACGCTGCTCAAAAACAGGCACCCTAGAAAAGATATCATGACCCAGTTAGCAAACTTAAAAGAAAAAAGAAAAAAAAAAAGAAGCATGCAACATAAACTCAAATGATCTAGATATACCTTGAGTATTGATGAGTGACCCACAAGTGGTGAAAATCTACAAGGCTTGCACTTGCATCAATCGCGACAACATCAACAAGGGGTGTCATGACTTCTCTGACATGAGTGTCTTTTATCTCCAGCACATTTTCAATCATATCCTATGAAAAAGAATTAACTTCATCATTCATACTCACCAGAAAACTAAAAATATGTGACAAAGGAATATACTTTTTTCCCGCACGTCTGATCATTTCATTATTAACTATATATGAATATATATATATATATATTATATATGCCGTAAGAAACCTATAACAGTCACTGAAAAAGTAGTGTTTTCCTTAGAGAATCAATCACTTAATCCTGTTTTCAAGATTAACATTTTTGTACGGTTCCCAAAAAAAGGAAAAAACAAAAGAAAACCTTTTATTTTCCATTCATGATTTTTATCATCTTATGTGTGAGAAACACAGTGGTTTCTAATATTAGCGCATTTGGGGAAAAAAAATCCTCTTTTCAATAGAGGATAAAGATTGACACATAGCATCATACGAAAAAATGGAATGTTTTCCTCATCCAATACGTCCCACTTATTTTTATACTGACGATAAGTCACTATTTTTATTAGCTTATTACAACATATTTTGATTTCAATTACATTTATAATAAAAAATAGTACAGATAATGGAATATTCATTTTAATTTTATATACATTAAAAATGACTATTAAATAGGAAGAATGCCACTGGGGTGCAAATATAGCATGCATAACCACTGTCAGATTAACAGCTGGTGAAAATAAGTTCATAAAATATATCAACTTAATGTAAAGAATATAGTTGCTTATATGATACATAATGTCAAGCAACATTCCATATTAAACACCAACGGTTCTATCAAATACTAATAATGTTCTCAAAACCAGTCATTCTTTGTGCCTTCTAGATTTAGAATATAAATCATTCCATTCATTTATCACTTTCTGATGCAATTGCAAATATATCACAGTTATTTTAACATATTCTCTATATACAAAAAATAGTCTATTGCAAGTTAACAAACATTTCAGATTTTAATTTCACAGCAACAATATATTCCTTGTGTGACAAAAACAGGTTTAGCGTACTAATGAAATCATTAGAGTTCACAGATCATTAGTAAATAATAAAGTTACCCAAAAAACTGATGGGGGAGAAAGGAAATATAATCACTCCTGAAAGTAAATTCCAACATAAATCAACGCCAGCATTGGTATTATGGATGCCATAATATATAAACTAAAATATTTTCTCCACTTTATTAACTTTACTAGAATAGAAAATTAATGTTTAATGTTTAATACCTGTTCTTCTCCTCTATTGCCCCACTCAACTCTGCACCTCTTAACATCAATTTCAGTTCATCCTCAGTTACATAGGGTTCACTGGTACAGTTAACATTGACAACAGTTCAGTGCTAGCAATAAGCATCTATTGAATATCATACCAACCAGCAAATGACAAAAGAATTCCACATGCACACTTTAAGCTACGTGAGATGTATTTTTGCAGATAAAACATGTTAAACCGACATTTTCCCTTGAAACAAGGTTTGGCAAATACATTAAAGATTATTTTGTTCCCAAATAAATTCCACAACATGCACGCACAAAGGTTTTAATATTCCCAGGGAGATTCTGTTTACTGTCCACCAACTTATAAGTCCAAAATGGCCCCAATAAGCTAGCGCCTAAAATTCATTAAATTATTAATATAACAATTTCATCTCCCCAATAGGACCCTTTGCAGCTTCCTGACAACGTTTAGGTATTGCAAGGTGCATAAACTGAACCACAGAAACTTAACAGAAATTCCAATGATGCAAATACAAAGACATTATTGCAGAGATGAAAGGATTAAAATTGTGACAAAAACTATTAGGCACCAAAATCTCTGATAAAATGCTAGAAAAATATATACAATGCAACAAGAAAGAACAATCTCTAGCTATCTTTACAGCAGACCTTCTTCCTTTTAAGCCAAGCAATTTCAGCATCCCCATTGAAAGGTAAGTGACAATTCTTCCTGCTGGGTACAATACCAGAGAAAGCCAAGCCACTGGCCGGACCTACAGGTATTTAGAGCCACAATTTGTTATAAAATGGAGCCAAGGCAGGAATGAAATGTAAATACAAGAAATGATGTATTCACATCTACGGAGCACTATTTCAGCATCAAAATAATATATTAAGGAACAAAAAAAAAAAAAGAACAACTTACAACAAATCGGGCCACCTCTGTTGCATTATGAACAGCTATACTCTTTGGAGTGATTTCAGTGAGAAGCAAAATGGCAACCTAAAATGAATAAGGAGAAAAGACAGAACTAAGATACTTATGTAAAAACAAAAGAAAAGAATTTCTTACAAAAGGAAACACAGTATGAAATCATGTTGTACGTAACATCATTTTTCTTCACAAAAATAGTTTATGAATAGAAGTCACAAACAGCCAGACTGTGAAGCATGCATCAAATTTCAGAGGATAAACGATCAAAAAGTTAAGACAAAAAGAGACTTTTCTTTAAATCATGCGGGGTGCAATTTTAGTGATTCAAGACCAAAAATGTTCTTGTTAACATCTTTGAGAAAACTTTCCGTTCATACCAATGAGTACCACCCAGGTAACAACGACATTAGGGAATGGGGAAGAGAAGAAAGTGATCATATGATAAGATTCAGTCCATCATGGAGATAACGGAATGATCCCAGCAACCAAGCAGCTCAGGGACAAAAAAAGGAAATCCTACAGGCTTTTCCTCTTTAACTTAGAAGCCATGCTTTATTAATTGAGTTAAATTCCCCCCCCCCCCCCAAAAAAAAAAAAAAAAGTTGAGTTAAATTTGGTAGCATTTTTGAAGTAATGATCATGTGGCAAATCCAGGTTAACATGTCCTTAAGTCTAAATGAAGCATTAATGCAGTTTTCTGTCACAATTACTATAAAATAAACACTCAAAAATATTTCATAACAAGTATATAAAGCAAATTAGCGATTAGTGAATAGAAATTTAAAATATGAAACATTAATTAGGATAATACAGGGGATAACCTACGTCCACAAAAGAAGTGTGATATATATACTGATAAATAGAGTGTTTCAAAGTAAATTAGAAGTTTAATAGCCTGGCGGGCCTAGATATTTGCGAGTCAAATTCAATAGCCTAGACTCTTTAAACATTTTCTCACATGCTAGAAGAGCTAAACTTCTCAAATTTTCAACAGCTCAATTGAAAAATCAACGAAACATACCGTCATCACTCCTGTTGCTGCACTAACACCAGCTTCACCAAAAATAGCAGTTGCAGCTTCCGTGACCAGGGCTGTTGCTCCAATATTGACTACACTGGGTAAATAAAAGTAGAGACAAATAAGAAAGACATTATTGAAGTAGAAGTCATGTTATGGGCTAATGGAGCAAGAGAATTACGTCGTGCCAATAAGTATAGTTGTAAGGAACCGAGTAACATCACTTCGGAGCAGTCTAAAGACACCATTTTCGGACTCCTTTTCAGCCAACTCACGAACCTTTGCACAAAATATCATTAACAATGATAAGACTTTAGACTTCAACCAGCTTAATTATTAACTAACATAAATGCTAAGGTAAAGCCAATGTGCACAAAATTACAGCCCCAATGAAGGCATAAATTCTGAAATACTAAATTCTTAAACAAGTAGATAGTCAACTGATATCACATAAAGGTGAACTAAAAAATTCAGAGCTTAAGTGGCATTAGAAAAGTAACTGATAAACTCTGCAGTCTAGCCGACAGTACAGCCAAAATCTCTTTTGTGAAATTTCTACTAGCATGTTTGCTAAGAGGCTAGTGTCCAATTGTCTAAGATGACTACACCTCTCTTTACCTAAAGGCAAAACTTTGGACATTCATATGCATGTTAACAAGCCCATCTCAATTCCCCACTACACGCACCTAGAAATGTTAATGCACCCCAGTCAATTTCCCTTTTGTCAATTAGACTTTGTTAAGTAGGTCTAGATAAATTGATGTTTCAATACCAAACATTATTAATCACAACTTATAACCAGTTAGCATATGGTCAGGACAATATTTCATACCTTCCAAGGCCAAAGGGTAGTAATTGAAGTCTCGGCCATGGAGAAAAACGCTGAAAGACCCAAAAGAAATACCAGTACCAAACCTTGCTCCTTAAACATCCGAAGAACTTGTAACACCTTAGGCCATGCATTTCTGAGCAACAATACGCTCTGTCCAATAACTCCATATCCAGCGTTTACTACACCTTCAATTGCGAAGACTCGTTGACATCCAACGACCGATATACCACATACCATTGCAGCCAGAATAATTCCCTTCTTCACTAATTCCAGAATAAACTCCACATTTACTTTTGAAACAGAATTGTTTCCGCCCAAATAGTCATTACTTCTACATAAACATCTCAAGTGAGCTCTACCAAGTAACCTGTCATTGTCCCCATATGGGGAAGCAGAAAAGCTTCTAGAAGCGGATGGGCCAACACAATTTGATACGAAGGGAAATGGGTAACTACTAATATTCGCCAAAACTTTCATCGGCATTCTTTTCGGCCGATTCTCAGGGGCAGTGTAAAGTAATTTGGAGCCAGAAGTGAAGACTGGCTGAGTAAGAACCCAAGATTGGAATGTCATCTCCAAAAATTTTGAATACGACAAGTAGAAAAACACCCACAAACCCAAACTCCTTATAATGCAACAGGACCAATTGAATTAATCAATGGAGTTTCTTTTATTGTTTAGCAACTATATTACAAAAACGTAAAAACAAAGGTCAAGTTAAGCAACAAACTAAGAAACATATATACAGGGAAGTTCAAATTATCGGGCTGCTAAGCTGTTCAAGATTCAGAGCTGAAACTTCGAAATCCGGACTTGAAGAAAACTAGGGTTTCAGAAGGGAGTGGCAAGTATGAGTAGGGAAGAGAGTGAACAACGAGGATTTTAAAGGTAAGAACAAAGGCGAGAAAGAAGAGATGAAAGGGAATGATGAGTTAGAAGAAAATCGCATTTTGATTTCTTAGCCATAGTGTTTGCTGAGGAATTGAAGCGGAAGTTGGAATGCATTTTTCGCCGTTGAACCTTTCTGGTGCCGCATGATGATGCTCAGTTCGGCAGCGCAAGTGGGAAGGGAATCAATTTTTTATTACGTAAAAATTTTAAACGGAACAAAATATTCATAAATCCTTCTCCTTTTGTTTTTTTTTTGGTGAAATCCTTTCCCGATGGTTCTGATTATTTAACCTTTAAACGTCACATCATGCTGGTGGTCAAAACTCGGGACAAAATACTTCTCTTGTCGTTGATATAGGATCTAATTATTAAGTTAGTTTTAGTTTTAAATATAAAACATATTTTTCATATTGATCAATTTTTCTCTAAATTACTCTATAGATATTCTCTCAACTATAATTAAGTAAAAAGAAAGAGGAAGTATTAAGAAAGATGATTATAGTATTTTAGGAAAATGTGTCACATTTCTTATTATTAACTAACTTACTTAACTTCTTTAATCTAATCAAATTAGTTAAATAGGTCTTATATTAAGATTGAAAGAGTATATCACAATTTCTTCACCAAAAATATATATACATATATATATATATATATCACAATTTACATCCTGCTAAATGATTGATGACATATAATTAAATTAAGTTATTTATTTATAATAATTTTACCTACTTCATCATGGGTAATAAAATAAATAAAACTATAAATCATTAGAAAATTATACTAAAATAAAGTTGATTTTTTAAAGTTTTTATTATTGATTCTTCAATTTATTATTAATATTAATAATGCTTATCTTCCAAGAAGTTTGGTAGAAATTATTATTAAAAATCTTAATGATGTTGTGGGTGTTCGTTTAGGCAGGAATATTAATAGGAGCGATTGTGGCCGAAGTCTCTCAACAAAAAGATTTTTCCGGCAAAGCTTAATGCTAATATGTACTGCTGATTGGAAAATTTTCTCTTGATATCATAATGGGCCTGTTTAGAAGGGTTTAAAAAATTTTCTATAAGCACGTTTCACATAAACTGAGATAAAACTCTTCTCATATATTTGTATCGTATTCCGTAAATCACTATTAAAAAGTTACTTATAAACTACTTATAAGTTGTTCCAAACGACCTATAAAGCCTTTTATTTCATGTCGCAAAACAACTATGGCAAATAGTTCAAGTTCTTGTTGGATCAAGAAAGAAAAAGCAGGCTATCATCTTGTCAGGGATCAATTAAATATTACTTCATGTCCTTAATATAATAGCTAATTGATTAATTTGAACATATTAAAAAAATTTGTTAAGTTAGTTATTTATAATAAATAGGTGTTATTTTTTCTAAAATATTTTTACTAATCATGTATATTAGTTGGAAGTCTTATATTTAGAACCAAATTGAAAGTTAAACTAACTTGACTAGTAAAAATAGTGATATCTATGAAAGACAAATCCGGAAAGAAGGATCATGAAACTTTCGAGCATGACCATAGTTTCATTAGAAGTTGCATGTTAATATTTTTCATGATACTACATTTAATTCTTAATATAAAAACTAGATAACTAATTTAGTAATATTAAACAAAAAAATTAGCTAGGATGGTTATTTATCCCAAATATGTGTTGGTCTCACTAAATATTCTCTTTGATCATGTGTATCGGGTGATTGCAATTATTCTTTTACAGGAATTCATTATAATTAATAAGAATATTTTAGGAAATAAAATAGATTATGATTTTATATTTAAAAATTCAATCCTTCAACAAGCGGAATATTGCATTAAACAATCAGAAAATATAATATCTCCTGCAATTTCTGTAATACAATAAATCTTTGGTACTTTATCTTTCATTACTTTGGCATTCTCCGATCCAATGAACTGCAGAAGCACGAGATGAGATCCTCTTCTCTTGATATTCCACGACTCAAGATGAATAATGAAGGATGGACAGTAATCATGAGCAATCAAAAGCGAAACGTTCATGTCTCCTGCCATACCTTAATTACTTAATTTGTTCGTCCTTGCAACAATTTCTCTAGCCGCTACTTTGTAATAAGTTAAGCATGATTAACATTTATGTTCTAACTTGAGGGTAGTATAAAGATAATATAACATTGTTGTAAACAAATCATCGAGTCAATCACCAGATCTCACATATCTTGTAGAGATGAAGTTTTCCTTAACACTACTAGGAAAGCACCATTTTATACCACTTAATCTACACCGGTTATTGTACTAACAGTGTAATAAATGAGGAGATAGCATTGTTGTAAATAACAATACAATATTTAAATCAGTTATAACAACATCCGGTGTCATTATTATTTTTTACATCAAACGTTATTCCAACCAATGTAATATTAATTAAATGACCTCTATAATTATAGACAACTAGTGTTTTTAATCTTTACATTGACCTATCTCCTACCTCTTTTTTTCCCTAAAGTAACCTGAACTTGAACGGTCACCAACCATGTCCTGTTATCATCTATTTAAGCTTAGAAGCCAATTGTTGTTCTCATCCTCTATCTTTTTTGTCCACTATTGCCAACAACCTTATAATGCTGAAACAGCAGAAAACCGTCCTGACCCGTCCTTCATCTTTCCCTCCCCCTCCCTACCCCCTTCCCCCCCCCCCCAATCCCCTTGTACTCCCCCTCCTCTCCCTCCCTGCCCCATCTCAACCAGCTACTTCAAAGAATAACAACAATTGATCGCAGCATCCGCCGCGTAGTGACTCATTTCTATGTCCTCAACAACAATGTCAACCTCTCACTCGATGATAGGCACATCAAATATGATGATATGGACAACCCCTCGGCTGCCTCCTCCTCCTCCTCTGATAATTTTTTTTGTTATCATAAAAATGTAATCTTTTTTTTTCAAAATATTTTGTGAAGGCAACCTCTACGCCCTCTACCAAATATAAATATATAATGATATTTTGTGATGATCTTGTGTTGTTCCTTTATTTTAACGCATTTTTCTGTTTTCCAATCTTAATAACAAACTCTAAAATTGGTAAAAATATCATCTTTTTTTGGTCCGCCAGTTTAAAGAAAAAGAAGAACTGGTAATGATAAAACTTTAAAATTTACACCAGTTATCTTATATTAGATCTACAATAAGTTTTCAACACCATTTTCTATGTCAATCGGCGTTAAAATTTTGCTCTAGCTATAAATAAGGCCCTCGTGTCCTCAATTTTGTGATCTCAAAATATAGATAGGGATGCTCGCACCTCTGGAGTTGTGTAGAGATGGCATGGAGTGCTCAAGCCATCTTTGTTGCTTGCCATTATCGTTGTTGTTTATTGTCTCCGCCGTTCTAGTCTCACTATAGGTATCATCATCGCTATTTTATTTCTTTACTAGGCTGTTCATCTAAGCCCTAATACAAGTCTCTTTCTATTTAAGATCAACTTTGAATCTGTCCAATAAAAGTTGCCATAAGCTGTCTAAGGCTTAAGCCAACGTTTTTGTATTTGATCCATTAAAGAGGATGAAGAACCCTACCAAGTGTTTGTCATTCAAGTATGATCAACTCCGAGTTGCAATACCTTGAATGACTAAATACTTGTCAGATATCCAGTTCATCCTTGCAAAAGGAACTATCCTTCTTTTTTTTTTTTTTCCTTTCTTCTCATTGATCACCAGTAACTTATCTTCCTTTGTTTTCTCTCTCCCTATTGAGCTATTTTCCTAAACCCCAATACTAGTTAGTTCTTAATTGCTGATTACTTTGTGTTTTCACAGTTTCTTTTGTTTGTGGCAAAATAAATTTAGTTATCAGAAGAACTAGCTAGTAAGGGGAAAAAAACTAGTTTAAGAAGTAGACCCTTTTTATTTAAATTTTTAATGTTAATGTTTACATCAGTTGGTTCAATAGCCGCTGTTGATATCATAGTTTCCTACACCGGTTAGGGAACCGGTGTAAAAAGTGCGGATGTGCCTATCATCGAACGAAGGCCATCAAATACAAAAAGGTCTTTTAAAATCATGAAATTATTCTGAAGTCCCAAGAAGTTTTTTTGCAATAAATTTTATTTGTTTACTTACCAAATTACCCTTCTTTTTTTTTTTTTTTAAGTTTGCATTGACAACTAAAAGAGTAATGGCTGACAACTTAGGGTATAAGGATTGACAACTATCGCGGTTGGTTTGACAACTTAAAATGTGATATGCTGAGAAAATGTGTTGTCAAGCCAACCGCGATAATTGTCAAACCAGCTGCGATAGTTGTCAACCACTGCTCTTTCAGTTGTCAATGTAAACTTAAAAAAAAAAAGAAGAAGGGTAATTTGGTAATTAAACAAATAAAATTTATTGCAAAAAGGTCTCTTGAGACTTAAGAATAATTTTATGATTTTAAGGAACTTTTTTGTATTTAATTCACTTGGATAGAACCTAATTGTAATTCTCCCCATATAATTTCCAACCAAATATGGTATCACAAGACCCTTTCTAGAAATTTCTGTGCTCTCCATGTCTTCCATCCAAATAGCTTTTGTTGATTTGGAAACGACTGCATCATGCTCTCATAATTATCATCTTAACACCTCTAGATTGTGTTTCTTCATCATATACCAACGTGAGGAAACTTTCGAGCACCTCTATTTCCTTCCCCTACCCTAAAGCTACATATTTGGTTTAGATTTCTGTCAATTAAATTCTTTAATTTCACACTCAATAGCTTTCAATCATGGCTAAAAAGAGTATTATCATAACTTCATTAGCAATGCGACTCGTCAATAACCTTTGGCATAAGTGAAACTTATTGTACTCTTCTGGTTCTTAAGGTAAAAGCTAATTAGCTAATATAAGTAGATTAAGCATATCAATTAAATTAGTTAACATGATATGTTTTTTTTTTAAACACTCTAATCATCTTCCTTAATTCCCTTTCTTCCTTTCCCATTTGATTATTGTTGAGGGAATATTAATATGATTAATTTGAGAAAAAATTGATAATAAACATGTAAAATAGGTTTTATATACGTAGGACCAACACCAATTCTTATATTAGTTTATGCATCAAGGACTGAAGGAGTATTACAAAATGGGAAAATATCTCCTACAGCTTGTGTCATACAGGAAATCTTTTTCACTGCT